CATATTTTTAAACAGAAATTTAGATATCAAAATTATACATAACACTGCAGAATGACAATCATAACATTTTGTGGCATACTTAAATTTTCATTTTGACATAACATAAACCTTTTAACCAATCATCTCTATCTAATGCATAAGAAGTTTTACCCAATTTGTTGTCCTTTAATGAGATGTATATTATATGAGTTTTTCATTAAAGGCAGAGGACTGAATTGGAAAGAAAATCTTATCACAATAGGCAATCTCTGCTTTACATTTTGGAAGTCTTGTACATCTGGAGTCATAAATACATTTAATACATTATGAAATTAACAATAATGAATTGTCATACACATGTGACAACTTTTGCTTATTAATTTAATTTTGTGCAAAGAGCATCTTTTTAAAGAAAACCTTGTTTTTTCTCGAAAACTTTACCTTTTGACCATGACCAAATTATTAGGCATGTATCCCAAGAGACTATCAAGATCATTGGAGGCTCTTTATTGATGAGCAAAGGTTTGCCACACCTCTATTAATCAAGTGGAGTCCTATCCAATAACCTCCCCTCACCCTAAGGGATTTTTAAAATTATCTTAAATTCTTTGATGAGCTGTGAGAAAGCCAATATTGAATATCCTTTTGACCAGCAGGTACCTCAGGTGAAAGCATGCTTTTAAGTACATAACCCAAATTATATTATGAACAAATGGTCCAAAAATACAAAAGAAAAACAAGGAAAAGAGAAAAATTGTTGAGCTCAAAAGAACAAGGGAACAGCTGTTCACACAATGACAAATAAGACAAATAACAAGTACACAAAAGAAACAAATAAGTGTCTTTACAAAATCAATGTATTCAAATACATTTTTGACCAAATTGAATTATGGTAACTCTATTACAGAGTTAGAAATTTATAATTATAAATAGACTAGTCAGTTTTGTTGTTCGTCAATTGGTAGAGATCTCTTATCAGAAGAAATTGGAAGGAATAAAATCTTTTATCTATAATTAATATACACTTTTATACTTTATTCTGTTTTAAGAATGCTGATAAATTTCAACTCAGTTATCTTTATGTACTCTATCACCTACTCAGATCTTTGGTTCCCATTTTGCTTAACATCTCCTGGGCATTCTGAGTCAATTCCTTCAATAGGCCCCAAATTGGATCTAGCCTGATCAATGTCAACGTCTTCTCCAGATCTGGGTTCATCACACAGCTGGACAATATGTTCTAGCAAAACACAAACATATCCTCTATCCCAAATTAGCTTGTTTTTGTTTTACCTTACTGCATTGTCTTTTTGCTGCTTTACTTCCACTTTTTGTAAAATTAAAAAGTTAATAGTATACCTTGCCAAGTGAAGTGGAAGGGATAGACTGATACTTTTGGTTTTTTTTTTTTTTTTTTTTTTTTTTGGTTTTTCTCCCGTACTGGGAACCGAACTCACGACGTTGCGCTTGTCAGGCAGGTGCTTTGCCGCTGAGCTAAATCCCCAGCCCTGATACTTTTGTTTTTGTAATTGAATTTTGATCACAATTTGAGAAACTTCTATGCTATATTTTGGAAGAGGAAGCTATCACATAGCCTTTCTTGCCCTAAGATGACCCATCTGTGTAAACATAAACAAACTGAGTTAATTTGTCTGAAAAATAATGACAATCAATAATACCAGAGAAATTAGCCTAAAAGCTGGGTGGAGCCAATTAGTATTACATAAGGTCTGAAAATAATTTAGGGCTGATCTGAACAGTTTTGGACCCAATATGTCTCTGGTGGAGAAGGTGACCCAAAAATGAAAAAGTCCAAAATTAAAGCAAGACAGTTTCTATTAGCTGTATAATCTAAAATGAAGAAATCTTTTACTATAACTCTAAAAGATCAAAGTTATCATTGAAATATACATTTTTTGAGACAAAGCCAAAATTTTCATTTATGAGAATTATGTTAAGTAATCTTTTTAAATATTTCCATTAATGTAAGTCTAAGAAATATGATTTTTCAACTAAAAGCAAAACGTTTTTTATTTTGAGGGTGGAGACAATCTTTTAAATCAATCACCTTAAGGGAAAAATTTAAAGTCTTTTTCTTTTAACGTCAATTGGAATGGACAGAGAGAAAACTGTTCTATTCCCTATGAGGCTCTATTCCATGTGGAATGACTCTTTGTATCCCTCCAAGTGAGTAATCCAGAGTCATTGTTACTTTGGACCTGTAGCTATCACACCCAGAGGCCATCTGCACTTGTGCCTAAAAGCCCTTTAAAATGTATTTCCTTTAAATAATTAATTCCTATTTTTTAATCCAATAGGTCCTTTCTTATTCATAAATTTTTAAATTCTTGTCAAGGGAAAAATGACCAATTGAGTGATATGAGAGCCTAGGGTGATTTGAGCAGTGTTTTGTGTAACTGAATTATAACCTTGATTTTCCCTTTATTTGGGCTATTGGTTTTGGTTGCAGCTTTTGCTTTATCTCCTTTGGACTGGGCAAGCTGCTGGTAGCAGCTCAACTGTCCTGCCTTAATACTGGGTATGGGCTCCATCACCCAAGCCTCCCCCTTCCCAGGGAATGTGGTGGTCACAGCTTCTGCAGCCACAGCTACCAAAATTTCTTTTCTGGTTTTTTATTCCTCTGATCTAGGCTTCTGTCACTCTAACGGCCCTTAATGTAATGGATGTGGCAGGATGGCAGGAATGCCATGCAGTGGAGGAGTCCGGGAGGTTTTCCTAGGATCCAGCTCACTGGGAGGAAAGGAATGGGGATCTGTGCAGTCATTGTCTTGGCAGGTTGATCCCAGGCACTGGGCATGCCAGCCATCTCTCCCACTCTGACCACTGGATGTCCCATTTCTGGTTGGGTTTCAAGTACAGGTTCTGTTTGAGCAGAGTGCAAACACACACATGCCATACATGACAGCAAGAGCCAGGTCACACCACAGTCATGTCCTGCCTATTCAGCTCCAAGTGCCCAGGCCTGTGGTTGGCAGTTTGCACCAACAGCCATGGCTGGACCTGACCCACGGATGTTCAGGTGGCCAGAAAATTAGAGCTGAGTCCTCCTAGGATATGAGCCCAGGACCCTCCCTGCACCCAGTCTGCACTCCTCCCGCAGTGGCACCATGCCACTCCAAGCCAGCCATGCACAACTTAAAAGAAATTTCTTTTTGTCTTCCTTAGCTGATTGAGCAAAGCTAGAGTGATCAAGCTCTACTGGTGATATCTTTTTCCCGCTTGCTTTTCCACTGGGGACTTGATCCTAAAATAGTACTCTGAGCCAAATCTTTTATGGTTTCAAAACTCTTACTACACAAAATCCAATAAAGTAAATACAGGACTCAAGCATGTAAAACACACTTCTACTTACATATACATCTGAGATTTTTAAGACTCTATTTGCCCATTTTTAGCTACGAGTAATTCAGTGTACCTTTTTTTCTGTGACTTCTCTTCAACCTCATTTATCTCTCTGGCCGTAGGGAGCCTGTTTCTGGCCCTACTGAACCTTGATCCCCAAGTTTTTACACCTGGTGACTGCCATATCTGATGCATGCCTATGCTGAATCCTGGTTCTAAGCAATTCACTTTTCTCCCCTGTTGTGTGCAACGGAGAAGTTTTTCCAGTGCTTACTTATACATTTTCACTGGGTGTCCCTGTTGAGCACCAATTTGCTGTGATCCACACTCCTATTGATGGTTCTGGGAAAAAAGACAATGGGATGAGGAAAATACAGACAAGAGACAAAGCTGAGGTCAGGTGGAGTCCTCTCTCTCTTCATGGGAGGAGAAGAACTGAACAACAATAATAGGGGCATTTATTTATATTTTTACAAGGTTATTACCATAATACACAAGGTTGCCTAGTGACTAATGACTGGAATTATCTCAGGAAGGATGTTTTTCTCAGGACTGAAGTATTTCCAGCTTCAGCGGCTCCCTACAGAGAAGTCCTGTGTTGTGGGATTTATGGAATATATGTACTATAAGTAAAGTATCAGGCATAGTGTTTGACATATATTAGAACTTTAATGAATGGAAATTCTTTCAAACATGATACTACCCCCAGGCCTTATCACCCTCTGTTATGGAAATCTAAGCTTTTGCTTTCATTACTCAGAACATCTCAGAGGTTTTGTAACTTAATAGTCACAGAATACCAACTCAAGCAAAAATCCTGCTTCTTGTATTAAGCACAGTAAATATTCTGTCGTGTATAAATTGTTTGTGAAAGAGTCTCCAGCTGGATGCATGTCAAACATTTTAGAATTTAAGACAAAGACCAACTCCTTTTACTTTCCTACTTGCTACTCCACCCAAGCCAGTGTTTTCATGCATTTATCCTCCACTAAAATTCTAGCCCTTCCTTAAAGATGGCCACATTACACACAAAATGACTTAATTAAATTTCCTTTCAATAGACTAGGCTCTGGTTTTCCCTGGCTGGGGAAAAGAGCCAGCCGAGAAGCCTCTGGCACTACTTCAAAAAAATAAGTACCATTTATTTCTGAAGAATTCCTTGCAGTTGTTGTGTATAGAACATGTAGTTCATGCACACCACTCAACTGCATCACCACAAAAATACAAGATACCTTCCATGCCTGCTGCAGGTAGAGATTTCTCTCTGATTTAGGGTCCACCCAAAAGGAACTGCTCAGTGTTTTTGATAGCAGATTTTTATTTCACCCATTACTCTGGTCCCTGCTACCACTCAGTTGAAGTTAAAATTAACTAGAGAAAAATTGTAACTTCTCAGACCCCAAACTGCCTTGACTCAGGGCATTTAAACTCCACTTCTGTAATCTGGACTTTCACCTACTCACTCCTTCTTTCACTTGTTCTTTAATTCTTAAAGGACAACTCACTATCTTCTTGATATGACTGCTACCCTTAGACTCTATCTTTTTGGAGGGAAGAGGTGTATCTTGTTTATCCTAGTACCCCTGTTATTTCATAGCACCTTATAGTTGCAAATGTTCAAATAGTGTTCAATAAATCAAATAATCAGTGAGGTTTTATTTTATGATTTATTTTGTCTTACACTCTATAACAAACCAGGCAAATTTTTAATTTTACAGAAATTAAAATGGGTAGGAAAATGCAAGCATTAAGTGCCATTTACTTTTTCTATTTTGCTGTTGAGATCTTTTAACACTTTTGAAAAAAATTCCTATTGCAATACCATATTTCCCTTCTGCAGATCACAAAATAAAACAAAAAGTTTTTCTTAAATTATTTTTACAAAACATCCAACTTTTGTTGTTAGACAAGAAAAATGCTAACTTTGTAGCTAATATTCACAAACTAAAATACTGAACCGAACTCAATTTGCTTTTGAAAAGAAAGTCATTTGGAAAATATTTTCACCAAAAAAATTTTTTTCAGTCTTATATAACAGGAACACAAACAACACTGCACTGCCTTCAAGTCATACCATAGCCCACCACTAGTTAGAAACTTGTCTATTCTCTTCAAATAAATGCCGGAAAATTGGCCTCAGACCTCCAGAAATGTTGCTACACATGACATCAGGGCTGGTACTAGTCATGGCTGTAGCATCAATTGCTGTATCAATTACAGTATAGGCTTCCCCATATTTTTCAATCCATCCTTGCACCAGGCTGGAAATGAACTAAGGGTGGTACCATTTAGCTTGGCCAAAAACTCCAAGATATTTCCCTCACTGACCTCAGCATGGGCTCTTGTACCCCACTGAAACTCATAACATTTAGGATCACTGTTGGGCACCTGCTTGTACACCAGGTATTTTTTTTGTACCCAATCATTGGTGATGAGGATCCTGGGATCACCATAGATACAGTGCTCCTTTTGAGCATATACCTCCAATGCACTCAGCACTTCCCAGATCTTCTCTTCAGGAATGTAGCCACCCTCCATGAAGATCATCCCCAGGACAAATAACAGTAGGCCAGTCTTGGGGGGGGTCAGGTCATCACTCAGCATTCTACGGTAGGTGGGATCTAGCGTGTTATACGTTATATAGGTATGCTTGTTAGGACCCAGCTCTGCCACCACAATGCCAAAGATAAGCTCTGTGAACTCACAAGCTTTCTCAAAGATTATAGGAAAGTGGCCCTTGTACTCCTTGATGACAATATTCAGCATTTCTTCTTTTGCGATTAGCTCTTTGTTTTGGTACTTGAGGAGGAAAAGCCTCACTAATTCAGCCACCTTCTTATCTAGCACATCTTGGACTAAGGATTCAGTATCCTCATCTTGTTGGCCCCTAGACTCTTCATCTAACTTGCTCCAAGAAGCAGAGGAAGAGCAGCCACTTGGAGGACTCTGAGGAAGATTCTGGAGAACACTCATCATATTAACAGCAGGCACCTCCTCCTTCTCCTCTTCCTCCTCAGAACCTGTAATCACAGAAAGGGACGAAAGGGAGGAAGAGGAGGGAGAGGAAGTGGAGGGGAAGGAAAAGTGAAAAGATGATGAAGTAGAGGAGTTATCTTCCTCCTCCTCCTCAGAAAAGGAAATCTCTTCAGTTCCCATATCAGGTAGGTCCAGGTCATCTTCCTCAAGGGTGAGCCTGGAATCCTTTAGAGAGTGAGGCATGATAACTATTGCTGGAGGCAACAGGCAAGAGTGTGCAGGAATATAAGTGATGGATCCCACGGACCTGGACAAAAAGACAGTGAATGTTTCAGCTATATACTCAACCGTAATGTCTCTGACAAAAGTGGATTAACAGGTCAGTTTTAGGTGCTGTCACAGGACCTCACAGTACTCCTGTCTTTCTTGTGAGCCTGTCCCCTGTGAAAGTACAGGGAGACCTCCAGTTTGTACTTGTCAGAGTATGAGGCTTCAGTAGGATAGTTGGAGTGGGGGGAGGAGCAGGGCCCTTGGTACACACTCAGAGTGTGCCCCTCACCTTGCCTCCTCCTCCCTGAGCCTCCTCTGCTATGCTGGTCTTTGGACACACACCGCAGCTTAGGTCTTCACTTCCCAGTTCTTAGAGCCCTTGCAAGAGGAAGTGAGGGGCCTCACAAGCTACAGATCATAAGCATAGCCATAGAATTCCCAGGGGTGAAAGGTAGAGTGGGGTCAGATTCCTTGAGCTCTCCACAGTTCTGGGGAGGATAGTTCCCTCAGTGTTCACTTAGCTTTCTCATTTTTTCTTTGATAAATTCATTTCATTTTGTATGTTTGCTGTACATATTGAATACATTCTGTTGTGGGTAGTTGGTGCAGGAACATGACATATCTTATTTCTTTTTATGTCCTCTTACTCACCTCCTTCTTTCCCTCTCTTCATCTCTTAGTGCACTTTCCATTTTGCAAAGATCCATCTCCTTATTTCCTGCTGTCTATCTTTTATTTTGCTATTTGGTATATATATACTTTTTATAATATAAGAGAAACAATATAATTTTTATGCTTGTGTATGACATTTATTTCACTTAACATTCTGGGTTCAAGGTGTATTCATTTTCTCCCCAACCCTTAAGCTAAGCTGAACCAAAGCTCTCAGGAACTAACATCCCTTAGACCAAGGAGACTAAATACGGTTTCAACAAATCTGGCCACTTCAATCCAGGCCTTCCTAATATTGGCAGCACGGGTCTTTTAGTCTTAGCAATGACACCTAGCAAGAATTGGGAATCTAACTGTGCTCTCTCTACTGACTTTGCCCCTCTCACTTCAAGGCTTTCACCTCCCTACAAGTCTGAACTAGAAGGGAGAGGGTGGCATCTCAGCCTGACAGGACTGAAGGAATTCTAGACGCGGTTATATGAAGATCATGATAGGTATCTGTGGGACTCTGTCCTTGTCCTGAGGTGAAGATTACCCTCAGTCCTCGAAAAGCACCTATGAACTCCTAATGGGTTCTGTACTTATCTACTCTGTGAACTTAATATACTTCCCTCAAGCCAAAGCTCTCATCTTCCTGAGATGTTGCAGGACTCATGACAAGGGTAGGGCTAGCCTAGACCCTCGCTGTCCTGTTGTGGAAGGTCCCTTAGTCCTTCATAAAAGTCCTCACCATCCTGACAGAGTAGGCCTGGGGCTCCTCCCTATGTTGATCCAAGTCCACCATTTTAACACACAGCTTCACCTCCCTCAGACTCCAGTAACAGAAATCAGGAAACGCCCCAAGCATGGCCTCTGCCTATAGCTTTCTAGCTTCAACAGGGAGGAGGGGAGGCTGGTGCTCCTTATGGTGCATTCACTTCTACCTGGTGATCTTCTGCATGAATACTGGCCAGTCTTAGGACCCCTCCCTCTGCTGATGTGAAACCACACCCTTTGATCTCTCCAGATAGAAGAGATAGAAGTAGAAAATATCACATCCAGGAAATCTGCTTCACATCTTCCCACATATAACAGGGCCCAGTAAGCCTGGGCCTTGTTATAAGAAGTAGGAGATGAATCCAGTCCACCTGCTTAAATTCTCTCCTTGATGGATGGTCAGTGCTGGATCTTCCCTCTGCCAACCCCAGTCCATGCCCGGCACAGAAAGCCTCACCTCCTTCACAATCCAGTACAGGAACCAGAGAAAGTGCACAGGATACAACCCTTCCTGGATCTCCTGGGAACAACTGCTGAAGCAAACAGCGCCGGCAAAACCTGTTGGTGGTGGGAAGGGCTCTGTGTTCTCTACAGTTGGATTGATCAGTCCTAGGACACCCCTTTGCTGAAGCCACACCCCTGAGTCCCTGGATAGAAGTAAAAAAAAATATACATCTGGGAACCCTGCCTTAGTCTTCCCCAGGACTAGCAGTGTATGGAAGAGATGGGACACTATAAAACTATGGTGGGAAGTAAAATAGATCCTCCTTAAAGATCTCACCCCTTCTTTATTATTTTTTTGAGACAGGATCTCACTATGTGGTTCAGACTGTTCTTGTTCTCACTATGCAGCCAAGGCTAGCCTCGAACTCATGGAAATCCCACTGCTTCAGCCTCTCTGGTGCTCGGATGACACCTGTGCACCACCATTCCCATGCCCAGCTAGGTCCTCCCCTTAATGGTGCCACAGGTCTAGGATTCTTCCCTCTCCTGACTCAAGCCCAAACCCCTCACAGAAATCCTTACCTCTCACAATTTCCTCAAGGAAGTAGAGAAACTTCACCAGTCGCAACCTTTCTGAGACCTCTTGTGGACACCTGGAATTACCAACAGCGTTGGAACTCGTTACTGAGGGTAGGAGGGGCTCTGTGTCCTCTACAGTTTGATTGGTGAGTCCTAGGACTCCTCTCCCCTGCTGGTCTGAAGCCACACCCCTCGAGAGTACCCAGGGGATAAAAGGATAGACGTCAGGAAACCACATTTCCCAGAACCCTGCCTTACACTTTTCCAGGGTTGACAGGTCATGGAAGGTCTGTGGTGCTATAAAACTGGTGCAAGGTGAACCCAATACACCTACTTAGCTCCTCGCCTTGATGGTGGCCCAGGCCTAGGACTCCTCCCTCTCCTGACCCAAGTTCACATGCTGCACAGAAAACCTTACCTCCCTCACATTTTTGTCAAGGAACTACAGAAATTTCACAAACCACAATCTTTTACGGAACTTCTGTGATAAAGATGGCTCCTGCTTTGGGTGGTGGGAGGGGGTTGTAGGCCCCAATGAATTTGATTGGCCAATCCTAGGACCCCTCCCACTACTGGTCTGAAGCCACACCCCTAAGAGTCCCCGGATAGAGAGGATAGATGGTGGGGGCAGTCCTAGGCCCCAACCAATTTCATTGGCCAATCCTATGACTCCTCCCATTGCTGGTCTGAAGCCACACACCTAAGAGTCCCCGGATAGAAAGGACAGATGGCAGAGCGGTCCTAGGCCCCAACCAATTTCAAAGGCCAATCCTAGGACTCCTCCCATTGCTGGTCTGAAGCCACACCCTTAAGAGTCCCCAGATAGGAAGGATCCATGGTGGGAGGGATCCTAGGCCCCAACCAATTTCATTGGTCAATCCTACAACTCCTCCCATTGCTGGTCTGAAGCCATACCCCTAAGAGTCCCCGGATAGAGAGGCTAGATGGTGGGGGCGGTCGTAGGCCCCAACCAATTTCATTGGCCAATCCTAGGTCTCCTCCCATTGCTGGTCTGAAGCCACACCCCTAAGAGTCCCCGGATAGACAGGATCGATGGCGGGAGGCATCCTAAGCCCCAACCAATTTCATT